AATCGACTTAAAACCGGCTCCTATTTTTCATATTCGATAAACCGAATATAATAAAACCGGTTTATTTCGGGCAACCGAAGGATGGGTGATGAAAATATTTTGGAGTGTAAAAAGTATTTCATCAAATGGGGCACATATGACAAAACGTGATGAAAGTGACAAAACATGACGAAAAGTGACAAAGGGTAAAGTCGAAAGTCAAATTATGATAAAGATGACAAAATATAAATTCAATTTTATTTAGGTTTAATTAAAACAAAAAATTTTGAATTGATTTAATCACATATAAATCACTGTTTTTAGAAAATGAAGGACAGGATTATTTACTATTACTCTATTTTATTAGTTATGAATTTTGCTTCATATAAAATTCCATATTAATATACTATTATTATGGTAAGTAATGCTGAATACTTGCATGTAATTATTATGCTATATTTAATAGACATGTATATAAGCAACAAGTTTTGACTTGGAAAACAAATAATTAAATAACTTTTGCTTTCATTTGATATATTCCCCACAAAATCAAAACCGGTTGCCCGATTAAACCCGGTTTTGCGGTTTTATTTATAACCGGTTGCCCGGTTAGAACCGGTTTTATTATTGAAAAGGTGATTAAAACCGGTTCTTAAAAATAAAACCGGTTCCAACCTCTAATATACAGTGTATATATACAACTATTATTAAAAAATATAAGGAAAAACATCAATTTTATTTTCTTTTTTTTTTTATTATTTCAAAAATGATAGAGAATCTTCAAAGAAAATCAAAACTAGATAGATAATAAAGTGTATTACAACTAATATAAATAATAGGTACACTTCATTGCATATTTAATAACATTAAAGGTTGATCATGATGTAAAACTCAATTTATATGTGGAAGGGGTATGAATATTTGATATTATTCAAAATGATGTGAATGTGTTAATATTAGATGGGAAATCTACATTTTTTTGTAGGAAAAAACATGTGTGTTCATAATTGTAGCATTTATAATTTTTGAAATGCATTCCTCTTCATATTTGGTTAATTATCCACTCAATGCAAGAGGAAAAATGGTTGGAATTACAAAGTAAACTATTTATTATGATTTTATGCATACATTTTATATCCATATTCAACTAACTACATTGGATGTTGGCCATCCTAAAACATTTTCAATATTTGACAATTTGAAAAATAAAATTTTTATTAATATTAATTGTTTAAAGTTGTATATACTGTATATAAAAAGATTTTAATTATAAATTTTGTTTTTGTAAAAGATCTTCAAGCCAATAAAATTTGTGATTTTTTGGAGGTGATCATCGTAAAATTTAGCCAATGAAATCAAAGTCACAATGTGATAAACGAATGTCCATTATGCTATATTTTGTACCAAATTATCTTATGGGTCCAAGTAAATTAATATTGTTTGAACCTGTAAATTTTGTACAAATCCAATTATATTAGAATAAAGACTAATTTCATCATAATATGCAGAATGTTCACAATATAACCAGTTGATTGTGGAATATATATAAGAAAGCATGTCAAAGACCATGAATAATAATTAATACAATTAATTAATTATTTTCACCAAATATTATTTAATTAATTTATAATCTTCTTTGTCAATTAGTTTGAATTGTTTAATATGTTTTTCAAAATATTCTTTTGCTTGTTAAAGAGAATAATCAAATATTGATATGATTATTTGCAATTGGAATTAATCAAAAAATCAGATACCTCATTAATTTTCATGCTTATTTAGGATTGTAAATCCAAATTTTGGTGATCATTATGTCATATGTCATAATGACATTTATAAACTGAATTCAACCAATCAAATATCACACGCTGTGGCTGAAATTGCCAAAGTTGGTAATAATTGGTCATAAATTTACCATGATCACATGGTTATGAATTTATTGGCATATGGGCCTCCGATTACTAAGTGAGATTGTCAAGATCTACTGTAAATATTGCCATAACCGAAATCTCACTAATGAGTGAAAAAATCAGCCCATATACAAAAAAAATTTTTTTAAACTAAAAATACTTTTAATATTGTATTTTATTATTATCACTGATTTCAAAACATGTCAGGAACTCACGAAAAAGCTCCTGTTGAAGAACAAGAGCTTTATTCAAGTTGGGCCTTATTGATTCAAATAACATTATTGATCGGTTCGTTATTTACAAGTTATTACTTACAAGTAAAACAAATTCGGGCTATACATGAAACCGTCGTATCAATATTCTCAGGTATTAAATTATTTTAAAGGCTTTATGTATATATAAGCATGAATTTCAAAGTAATTAAATTTATGAATTAATTATTAGGAATGATTGTTGGTCTGATAATAAGACTTTCGCCTGGAACATTAATTCAAAAAAAGGTCACTTTTCATTATTCATATTTCTTTAATCTTCTCTTACCTCCAATTATTTTGAATTCTGGTTATGAAATGAAAAAGGTATGCAAATTAATTCATTATTTTTATTATAATAATAATATTATTATTATACAGATGTCTCTTTATATTGTTTTTTTTTATAATATAAATTTTTAGGAAAAATTCTTTCGAAATTTCGGTACCATCCTTACATTTGCATTTGCTGGAACTTTTATCTCTGCATTAGTAATTGGGTAAACACATTTATTTATCATATATGTATACTTTATATACGTTTGCTTTTAATGGTTTAATTTAATTATTGTTTTAATAATAAGAATTTTAGTTGCATTTATTGCCCTAATTGGAATTGATTCTTTATCATTATCATTTTTGGATTCAATGATCTTCGGATCTGTTTTATCTGCAACAGATCCTGTAACAGTTCTTACAATATTTCAAACTTTGAAAGTGGATCCTCAATTATATTCAATAATTTTTGGTGAAAGCATATTAAATGACGCTGTTGCCATTGTACTTTACGAGTAAGATTTAATTATTTATATATTCCAGTTATGTATAACATATAGACTCTTATCATTGATCATAATTGTTTCCATTATTTTAGAACATTAAAGCAATATCGTGGTGAAACTTTTCAATTTTCAAATATTGTTCATGGTATATTTAATTTCTTGTTCAATTTTGGGGCTTCATTAACAGTTGGTGTATTGATTGGATTAATGTGCGCTTTGATATCCTTTTTAATTAATCAGATCATTAACTTAATTTTAAAGAAAAAAAGTTTTTTTAATTTAAATCAAAAAAATTCTTAACTTCAATTATTATTTACATGTTGAAGTATTCAAATCTCCATAGGTTTCCTTCTATAGAATCATGCATCATTGCACTATTAGCATATAGCTCTTATTTATTTTCTAATGGTTGTCACCTATCAGGTATTTTATTATTATTATTATTGTTATTATTATTATTATTATTATTTTTGTTATTATTTTTATTTTAAACAATAAATTTATTTATATCTGTAGGAATTGTATCATTATTGTTTTGTGGAATTACTCTTAAACATTATGCTTATGATAATATGTCATTGAGAACACAAAGAACAACAAAATATATGTTCCATGTATTAGCTCAACTTTCTGAAAATTTTATCTTTATCTATTTGGGAATGACATTATTTACACAAACAGATTTAGAATATAAACCATTTTTCATATTTTTTACCGCTGTAAGTTAATTCTTTGAAGTATTCATTCATTCACATACGCGTCCATATATACACATTAACAAGGAATCAATTGTATTATTCATCTCTAGATAATTATTTGTTTTTCAAGATATCTTTCCGTATTTCCTTTATCGAATTTATTAAATTCGATATCAAAATATCGAAGAGGTAGTGAAACAATTCCTCATAATCATTCTGTAATGCTGTTTTGGTCTGGTAAGTGAAAGGTCGATGACGGATAAATTAATTTCAATACAATCACAATTGCATTTTAAAAATAATTGCTTTTTAATAGGCCTTCGTGGTGCGGTTGCTTTTGCTTTAGCTGCAGGACTAGAAGGAAATAACAAACACGCTATGAAAACCACTATATTGGTATTAGTTGTACTTAGTGTCATCGTATTTGGTGGAACGACATCTAGAATGTTGGAAATTCTCAACATTCAAATGGGTGTTGACGAGGATGAGTCTTTTAGTGATGATGATGGTTACGTTGCTGTCGATGATGATTCAGGTTCTAATTCTCAAGGTTCTGTTGTTTCAGCAGATTCTGGAAATTTTATTGGTGATGGTGCCCCATTAACTAGTGGCCGTTTATCTACAAAAGAGAGTGACCGTACACATTGGTTTATTTCATTTGATGATAGTTTCCTTAAACCAATATTTACTCGTACAAATGGAATATTACCACAAGAAAGATGGCAGTACGATACTACTCGAGGTGACGAAGAAGGACTTATTGGTCTGATGGGTACACGGAGATCACAAAGACATGTTAATTTTTCTAATAATAATAATTCAAGGAAATTATTTATTCATACTCAAAATAACGATAATAATAATGCCAATGACACTGATCAACTTAAAAATACTAAAAATAATAGCACTACTGATAATACTAACAATATTAACAACCACATTGATAATAATAATAATAACAACATTAAAAATAACGATAGCGATAAAAATGGTAATAATAATACTAATAGTACTGAAGATTTATCCATAGATTCTCCTAAAATAGAAAGTTCCAACCACGAAAATGATGGAAATTATATTTCTCCAAATTCAAACAAAGAAAAAACCGAATCAAGAATTCCACAAGGAATTTTTACAATTGATGATGACGATGATGACATAGAGATGGAGGATAGTTTTGGTTTAAATGATTTGTCCAATTCTAATAAAGATAATACACAACAATGATCAAATTTTACAATTATCGGAGGTTTATGAGAATTGGATGGAAGTTATTAAATTAGATGGATTATTTCTTCATTTATTTAGATTTAAATATTTTTAATTTTGTAAATAATTTCTTGTGATATCATTAATTTTATATATGTTAATTTATTATTTAAATTAATAGATTTGGGCTAACCAAATATGTAATTTATCTTTGTTAGGATTTTGTAAATTGTATTTTCTTGATTTCATTGATTTCATTGTTTTCATACAATTATTAGTATATGTATCAACAGCTTTAAATCCTATTAGATTCCTGATTGGCTTTCTTCCATTTTTTGTAATCTCTTGTTGATTTTGTAAATAAAATTCTTTAATAAAATTAAGAACTCTTCTACGATAATTTATCTCTTGAACTTTTTGTTTATTAGTCTTAAGTATATAGTATTCTTTGATGTTTTCTGTCATTGTTGTAGCTTTTAAAATTTCATTTTTATTAAATATATTTTCAATTACTTGTCTATCACGATTAATTTCATCAAATTCATCGAATTTAAAATTTTCTTCAATAAATAAATCTTGTTCTTGACAAATATTTAAAAGTATCATCTGCATTGCCATCTCAATTGAAATTTGCCCAAAAACATTTTCAGAATATAAATAATTTCTTCCTTTTTTTTCCTTTTTTGCCTCTTCTACGATTAACATTGAATCTCCTGGCTCTTGCACTTCGTTAAATACTTTTTCCCATTCAAGAAGTATTTTTACCAGATCAATAAAACCTTCTTTTATCGATAAATGCAAATACGAATTACTTTCAAAATCATATGAATATATATTATTTCTAATATTCAAGGTGCTTGTTAATTGTGTTATTTGTTGTATAAATAAAACAAGGACATCTTTCCAGCCTTTCATGATTGCATATGATATCGGTGTATGCCCAAAAGATTTATTACCATGTTCAATCATTCTTAGATATGTTGAAGGTTCTAACATTTGATATAATAATTTCAAAATTGAAGTTTCTCCGTCACAACTAAAAAAAATTATATTTTTTAGAAATCCTTTTATAAAAATAATAAAAATCCATATATTATTTATTTACCTAGCATAATGTGCGATAGTAAAACCAAAATCATCAACAATCCCAGGATCAGCTCCTAATTCAATCAAAATTTTCAAGCATTCAGTATTTTGTAATTTTACTGCCAATATTAAAGCTGTCATTCCATCTTTAATCGATTTTTTATCTAACAATGACTCTAATCCTTGTTGATTAAACTCTTGTAGTTTTTTATAAGATTCTGCTAATGAAATCAAAGCTTTAGGTCGATTGCCTTGTACAGCCCAATGAAATGGTGTTTCATTCCTAAACAAAAAAAATCCAAATATTTTTCTTCCAACCTTTTTTATATCTTCTTCCTTACTTAATACTTTCAACCTGTTATCTTTACGATTATCTTTTTTCTTTGCAAATTTTTCTAATGCCTTAATTGGTCTTTCAGATAAAAAGTATTCAATACTTTTTATTGAGCCATAGAATGAAGCATAAAATAAAAATGAAGGTTGAACAAAATTTTCATGTGAATTTGGCATATAATGTACTACCCAAGATTTTTTCTTGGATCCATCAACATCTAGACCTTGATACCATCTAAATTATTACAATAATAAAAAATATATAATACATTAATATGTAATTAACATATTATAATTTTTTTTTAAAAAAAAAGTTGATAATACTTTGGTTTTTCGATTTCAATTATTCCATCCTTCTTATCGTCTATGTCAAATATAGCAAAATTATTTCCGCCTACACCAAATCTTTGTAAATCAAAAAATAATAAGATTAAATTAATATTTTTTCAGTCATTTAATTTTAATTATGATAAAATATAAACTTACTCAATAAATAGATCTAACAAGTCTAAATGTCCAAATAAAATAGCATATTCCATAATACTTGCCTTGTCAGAATAAGAAGAAAGTGTATAACTAGCATAATTATTTCCACGTAGCAAATATGTCACTAATCCACCATCTTTTTCATCAGCTGTCATATAATTATCGTCTAACGAGAGTTCAAATGTTTAAAAATAAAATAAATATTACAAAAACAAATAACAACGATCATAATTATATGATGATATACCTTTAGTTATCTTATAATTTTTAGCCCACTCGAGGATATTTTTAACCAATTCAATATTATTTTTTATAGTGGCAAATTTCAATGCATCTAAATCACAAGAACTGTGATTTTTAATGAACGCCTTCGGAAATAGTTCAGTTTTATCAAATTTAGTCAATGTCAATAATAATTCTAATCCAGATACATTAATTTGCGTCTTAAACTTGATAAATTTTGATGATTCGTTATCAGAAGGTATTGTCAAAGTTACTAAGGATGACTCATAAAATCGATATATGTCATCGTCATCATCGACACCAGGTTCTTCATCATCAGAATAATCATAACTACCTAATAATCAAGAAAGTTATTTGTTAATAAATGAATATATATATTGTATTTTATTTTTTTTTTTTTTACATACTTTGATCGATCAATTCGTAATTATTAACCATTTGTTTTTTAAAGGCTTCTTTTTCCTCTTTAATCTTATCATCTCTTTCGTCATCGTCGGAAGGCAATGGGCGATATTGAGCAGTTGCAATTTTTAATAATGTTATAGCAATTTTATTTCTTCCCAATATTACAGCCCATAAAAATGGTGTAATATTATTTCGATCTTTTACGGCTATAATTACTCTTTTACTTAAATTTTCAACAATTTCAAAGTTGTCATCATAAATAGCTTGATATAATTTTATATAATCAGGTTTTAATGCATCAGATACTCTAATGTTATGGCCAAAAGCTTTTACAAATTTTAAGAACTCGAATTCGTACAATAATTCATCAAAATTAATTGGAATGACAGGAGAAATTGATGAAGCAGAAGGAACAGAAGAAATATTTGTAGATGTTGATTGTTCTGGTGCTTCTTTGTTTTTTTCTTTACTATCATCATCGTCGTCACCATCATCATTATTATTTGATTTGAATTTCTTTACTTTTAATCTATCAGGATAATTCTCGTTGTGCTTTAAATTTTTTTGTTTAAAGCCTAATGTGTTTGTTGCTTTCTTATACTCTTTTGTTAAATTATTAATTTTTGTTTCTTGTTGTTTTATAATCTTTTCCAAAAAACTTTTTTGTTGAATAATCTTGGCTTTTTCATCTACTGTTTTTGCCTGGGATTTTAATACACTTAAATTATCCAATTCTTGCTGATGTTGAAAAATCAATTTCTGAGAAATGATTTTTTCTTCTTCAAATTTGATTGTTTTATATCTTTTAGCATCTTTTTCTAATAAATATTCCCGACATTCTTGATATTTTATTAATAATTGTTCATACTTATTAATCTCTAATTTAATCTGATCAACACTATGAACAGTTGAAGTGTCAACAGCTATTTGATTATTATTTATTAAACTTAAATATTGTGGTAAAGTTCCTTGAACAAAATTATATAGATCATTTACATTTAATTTTTTCAAAAGATATGATCTGTATGAATTCAAGTTGGTTTTATGTCTTTCTTGAACTAACAGATCTTCAAGATATTTATTAATAATATCTTTATTATCGATGATCGTCGTTCCTTTATTTGATTTCAAATCAAGTTTAAGTTCATAATCTGATAATCGTTTTTGAGCTTCTTCAATTAAACTTTCAATTTTATCTCTAATTGTCATATTTTCAAAATTAATAACAGAATAGCGATACTCTTGAAAAATAAGTGAATTAATATCTGCACCAGATTCGATTAAAATCTTATACAATCCATTTTCCAATGACAATGTTACTGGCTGTTTAATCGTTTTATATATCACTTTACCATCTGATTTATTGTAACGCTTTGAATAATCTTGGCAATCTTCAAGTGTAATATGAGCCTAATATTTAAGTAATCACACATACACACATATATTAACCTTAATCTTAAGATTTAAATTATATGTATATATATAAAATATAAATAAAATTTACATGTGCGCCATTCTTTAATAATAATTCAACAATTTCTTTGTTTCCATTTTGTACGGCAATCAGAAATGGAGTTTCATATTTTGAATTTAAACTATTTATAACTCTTGAAGCTTTTGGATCAATCTCCAGAAATAGTTTAACAAATTTGATTTTCCCTTATAAGATTGTTATTATTAATTATTATTAATTATCATTATTGTATTACAAATAATCGGATAAATTAATTAATTACCTGCTTTAACGGCGAGGTGGAATATAGTATTATAATCATAATCAAGCTAAAACAAAATGTAAACAAAATAAATATTTGTTATATACATTTATATAATGAACGACATAAAGTTACAATAATCACCTGAGAAACCATTGCACCATTTTCCAATAATAATGTGGCAATTTGTAATCCAATTTTCTCGTTTATTAGTAACATGCACAATGACAACGGATAATAAATTTTTGAAATATTTATACTGTAATAAGATGGGACATTTGGTACTTTCTCTATTTTAATATATCGGCGTACATTTGCTCCCAGGTTGATTAAATACTTAACAACTTCCAATTGGCCAAATAAAATTGCATAATCTAATGCAGCCATTGAATGATCCCATGATTCAATATTTATATCAATAATGTCTTCGTTTTCTAGCTCTTCTTCGTTTGTTTCCTGATTAGAAGCTGTTTTTGCACCATAATTAACCTTATCTTTTGGTGGTGGGAGATTTTCATCTATCTCCATCTTATCAATAACTTCTAAAGATTCATCCGACCCATCGTCATCTTCATCTTGATCTTTATTGACGTTCTGAAAACTTTCCTCGACTTCTTTAAGAGACTTTTGATATTTTTGTTCTTCTGACTCATTTTTATTCTGGTCACTTTTTCTAAATAGTAGTTTTAAAATTTCCAGATATCCAAATTGTGAAGCTAAATGAATAACAGTTTTTCCATCAATCATTCTCGCAGTTATTTTTGCTCCATATTCTAACAATAACCCAACTAATTCGATATGATTTCCAAGCACTGCTAATTGCAACGGTGTTCTACCCAAATAATCTCTTGCGTTTATATCAATATTATCTGTTTGCAATCTTTTGACTATTTCTAAATCACCTTTAGCTGAAGCCGAACATAAATCTTCCCTAGCAGGAGATATATAAGCTTCGACAGCCCAATCATCATCATCAAGTGGATGGAAACTACCTATTTTTTGTCTACCAGGATCATCGGCAATAAAACTTATTTCACCACGGATAAAAACTTCATCCTCTTCTTTCTGTAATATTTTTTCTTCTTCAGTTGTTGGCTCAGGGCATGTACCACAACAATCATGAAAAATTTGTTCCATAGTACCAAAAAAACATGGATGTCGATGTAAATTTCTATCTTTGTTTTTTGAATACCATGCTGAATTCAACACCATATCCTAATATATATTTAGATATAAAAATGTAAACGTATGAGCACATTAGATATATATGCATGTGTATACTTCAATAAATATAAATTATTAATGATGAAAAAGAAAACTTTTAAATTATACTTTAGTGTATAGTAATTTTCTAATTCGTTTAGCGGTGTATCTTAGTCCATAGGGAATAGAAACAGTTTCATAATCACTATTTTCAAACCTGCTAGATCCTATATTAGATCTTCTCTGCCAAGTTCTTGAAGCATAAGTTCCAGCTTTAGGATGATTTGGTCGTAAGCTTCGTTCTCTTTTCTTTTCAGCATAACCAAATCTTTCATCTGGTGTATTCAATTTTTCAAGTACAAGTAGTCTTGCCAATCCATGAAGTTTTTCAAAACTTCTTTCATAAATAGTTGGATCAATTCTCTTTCTGTCCAAATTTTGTACTTTAATCTTTTTTTGTGAACAACATATTTTAAGTTTTGAGGTGATGATCAAATGTCAATGATTTATTTATATGTAAGTATTTACCTCAAAACCCCTATCACTATACTTTGCCAATCTCATTTCATATGATGGTGATCGTCGAGACAAATCAACAAAATTACATTGTTTAGTAATAGCTCGATGAGCTCGTGGAAGCGCCCAAACATCTTTGCCATCAAATCCAACACAACAACAATCACTATAGTCGCGTAGATTAATATATAAATCAATAAATCAATAAATAGATAGAGGTATCATAAAAATTTAGATTATAACCTGATGAATAAATATATATAAAATATTGGTATATAATATTTATCACTTACATATCAAAGCCTGTTAAAATTTCTGATGGAGACTTATACAAGCGTAAAACAATCTTTGGACATAATAATCAATAAATTCAATTGTGATTTACGTTTAATTAAATTTTAAAAATTAATAAATAAATGAATCTTAAATTTACTTGGATATGTCGATAAGGATATTGACTGATAATTGTTATGCAATTCTTGCTTCTTATACATATAACCTCCCATGGCACAGAATTTGAAACAGCATCATAAATATTTAGCATTTTTTCCATAGCAGCTTTTTCATCCAAGCCATAAATGAATAAATCAATGTCAGAACTTCCATACATTTTATCATGATAATATTCACGAATTTTACGTGGACTAACATTATATTCTTCAGGTATAGGCAGAAGACATGATAGTACAGATCCACCTTTTGAAATATAGAATTTCTTTGGTAAGTAATCTTTTGTAAGATAATATTGATTATCACATGTTAAATACAATACCTGCAGCAAAGACATTTGACCAATCAATATCTGCTAGACTTCCTAAAATTATGTAAAAAAAGATTAATTGAAAATCTTCACACAAAGTAATAATAAAGGGAGCTATATCAACGAACCTTCAGTAAATAATTTCCAATTTCTGGTGAATTTTTCTATACCACCTTTACAGATTGCGAATTCTCCGGACTTCTTTCTTTTTTTCTTAGGTAAAGGCATAATGTATATATTATTTTCATCAGCAATTTCATCATCATAATGAGAATCTATTAACCAAATATCATTGTTTTCGTAAACATTTATCATATTCAAATAATTTCTAGAAAGAATTGAATTATCTCTTGATTGAGCAAATAAAGAACGATAAATTGCTTCTTGTGATAATGCTGACTGAATTCCAGCATCATCCTTGTTGCGAATAGAACTTAAATATGCCTTTACAGTAGAATCTTCTTCGTAAGAAGCCATTATTAACGCATGAGAATTTTAAAATAAAAATCGTGAAATTCAAGTTGGCCAATCAGAATTCATATCCCAACACTCGCAATTTACCATACCTTTTTTGATTCAGATCACCAAAACAATATAAGTGATCATTTGGCGCAGCCAATCACAGTATCCCTTAAACGATTTTTAAAAAAAGATTCAAAACCCCATATATACTTCTATGATGCAGGACACCTATATAGTCCCTACAACTTTCTGCGCTACAGCGACAGATTTGAGAAAAAATTCACTATCAAAAATGCAATAAAATTTTTACAGTCACGTGTTTTAAAATAGAGTTGTCACGTTGCATTCTCTTTATTGGTATCACGTGATAAAGGAACTGCAATATACACTCACCTATGGTGCGTGTCACCTAAAGTCATCAAGAATTTTAAAATGTATCTAGTCCCTCAATTTTTATGCTACAAAAAAAAGAAACCGTAAAAATGATAGATTAGAATTTCCTCTTTCAAAATTACGGTTTACTTTTTTGATTTCTCAATTATGTACAAAGTTATTAAGGTTTTAAAACACACAAGTTTACTAGTATATTTCAAATTTCGGACGCTGATCATTCAAATTCTGTCCAATAAAATTCCTCCTAATAACAATCAATTTATGTCACACGAGAAATAACACGTAACTTTTGAAATTGAATATTAAAATATTTTACATGTAACTTTTGAATTGAATATTAAGATATTTTACACGTAACTTTTGAATTGAATATTAAGATATTTACATCAATATTAATTAAATCATTATTAATTGTTATAAAAGTTCAATCAACCAAACAAGATAAAATGCCTTTATCATCAAAAGGAAAAAGAAAAAGTAAAAATCAAGTAAGAAATGCAGAAGGTAAGTATGAATCAAAAAAGGCATGCCAAGATGATAACATCATTATGGATGATTACAATCATGAATTTTTTGGTACAATTGAGCATGGTGTAGTAAATTATGATAGTGATGAATTAAAAAACATTGACACTGGTGACAGTGAATTGGATGCTGGTAGTGAAAGTGGTTGGGATGATGTAGATGATATGGAGGAGGAAATTAAAATAAATCAAAAGCTCAAAGAATTAAAATTGGAGTGGAAGGAAAATGTTCAGCTGGAGAAAACTAAAAGAGGACCATACATGAGAAGTAAGACACCAAAATCCACTTATTATGATAAATATGGACCAAGTGGCTCGTTTACCAAAGCAGCTGCTGGAAATGAAAAAATTACAAGTCTTTTTAAAGTTCAAACCAAGGATCCAGAGCAGTTCAGGTATAACACAACAGAAGAAGCTTTAAGTGATTCAGAAGAGGAAAAAATTAATCTTAACAATTATTTAATTAAAGAAAAAATAACAGAGTTGAAAGATCAATTAGAGAAAAAGCATAAAGAAATGAATGTAATTGAATATAATCAAAAGAGAGCCATTTATGAATATCTTGTATTATTGGATGATAAAGGATGTGGAAGAATTGATGCTAGTTTGCAGGTAGCTAAAAAGTTTTTATAGGTGCTGGTCCATGGAAAGCACGAAAGATTAGATATGCTGCAAATTATTGGTTGCTTAACAATAAACTTCCAATGTCTAGACATGGTAAACATCAAAAAACTGTTAGATTAATTGATGATGAAGATGTTGCAGAAAAATGTCAAGTTTGGATTTGTGAAAAAAATTACCATTCAACACCATCTTCTTTTAAAACATTTATTGAACAAAATTTGTTGCCCAACATTGGAATTGCAAAAAAAAAAGATATTTCTTTAAGTACTGCAAAAAGATGGTTAAACATTCTTGGTTACACTTTTAAACTACATCATCAAGGAACGTATTATGATGGACATGAAAGGGAAGATGTTCTGCAATATAGGAAAGTGTTCTTAGAAAAAATGTTTGACCATGAGAAGTATATGTCCAAATATGAAGGTGAAACAATGGATAGAATAATCCCTAACTTACCTGAAGGAGAAAAAGAAAGAATTCTTGTAGTTCATGATGAGAGTATTTTCTATTCTAATGATGGTAAATGTGGAGTGTGGACCAAGAATGGTGAGATGCCACTGAGAAAAAAGGGAAATGGCAGATCAATTATGGTTAGTGAATTTTTAACAGAAGTTAATGGATGCCTTTGTTTGCAACAAGCTGACATAGAGAAACATCCATATGTACCTGAAGAAGCACAATGTTATTTAAAGCCTGGCATAAATCAAGATGGTTATTGGACAGCAGAACATCTTCTTGAGCAAATCGAATATAAAGCAATCCCTATTTTTGAGGCATTATATCCAGATTGCATAGCTGTATTTGCTTTTGATAATAGTTCTAACCATGCTGCATTCAGAAATGATGCTTTGGTTGCAAAACAAATGAATCTAAAACCAGGTGGCAAGCAACCTGTTATGTGTGATACTTACTTTGGAGAAGATAAACAGCCACAATCAATGGTTTTTCCATCTACACATCCTGATGAGAAACTTGGAAACAAACCTAAGGGCATAAAACAAGTGTTAATAGAAAGAGGAAAATGGTCATCTCAAGGATTAATATTAGAATGCAAAGAATGTAAAGAAAATATTAAAGATGATTCAAGAAAATCTTGTTGTGCACGTCGTGTATTATCATTGGAACCAGATTTTTTAGCACAAAAAGGAGCAATTGAAGAGCTGATTGAGAATGCTGGACATAAATGCATCTTTTTTCCAAAATTTCACTGTGAG